AAAATAGCTATAGCTGCTACTGACTGCTAACAGCCAAACAGCCTCATCGATTGAAGTTCTAAACTCTTAACCGCATCTCCTCAGTTGATGTTCTGAACTGTCAACGTTAAAGATTATGTCGTTTGGTTGATTGAGGGAGAGAAAGAATTATGTCGTTATATGAGAGTTCAGTATAAGTAGAGCGGCTTACTACTAATCATCTTAAATAGCGTCTCAGTAGGAAACATAATTGAAGAAACTCGGCAAAAAACGGAAAAACTGATAAATTTCTCGAACATTTTTAATACACTAGAGATCTTCACCCAAATTACTCTTTCACCAAAAAAATAAAGATATCACTCATTTAAGAATCTTAGATCAGTGGATTTCAACTGATAAAATACCAATGATAGTTCAGAACATCAACTAATGAAATACCATTGAGAGTTTAGAGCTTCAGCCGCTACGGCGACACCTCTATTCGTGACTCATGAACCATCCAGTAAAAGAGGCCCAAACCTGGTGCATGATCGGCATTCTATAATACTTATGACTACACAAAATTAGAAGTCCCTAGTTATCATGGTTCTTGAGTTACAGGGGTGTCTCTATCCCAGATACTGTACCACAAATAGTTTCAACATCTTAATTGTTTGGAATTAGCTCAATCTAGTTACGTAACCACAAAACGTTTTTGCTTGAGGAAAAACTTATGATACCTTTTTTGTTCCCTGAACTATATTTCTAATTTTATTCGTTGGCTCTGTAGTAAAAAATATAGCTACCTGTATCCATACATCTCTTCACCATTGAACGATATGTTCATTAATTCTAAATACGAAGAAGTGATAGACCATAATAAAGAATTGATGTTGTGAGACAGTAAAGCATGTATGATAAATTCACTCGAAACTCTTTAGATCAGAGCAACAAAGACATCGTTACGTATTATGAATAAGCCTCACCTTCACTTTCATCTGTACTGGTTATTACAGAAGGGTCGCTTGTCGCAGATAAATCAGCAGTTGTTGTAGTTTCTAAGAAAACAATAGATTTATTCATTAAGCTAATACGAAAATAAATTAGTGTGCTCTCAACGTTTCCCACCACAACCGTAATTTTTTCTTAAAATTATTCTGTTTCATCAAACAGGCCGAAGTTCCTTCTTGTTACATTGTTCTAGTACATACTAGAATAGGTGCCATAGGTTATTGTAACGATTTGTGATTCTAGTTGAATGAAAGAACGGCTCTCATTTTTGACAAATTATCATTTATTTTTTGCGTCTTAAAAGTGAACTAATTAACCACAGCAGTCAGTAATATTCATTTGATCGGCGCGGTGAGTGATCCGACATCTCTTGTACCTCTCACTATCATTTCTGAAGCATATTTGTTTTATGATGTTTCTTCGCATTTAATATGGAAACTATAATGATGTGTCTTTTGTACAAAAAAATCTTCGCATGTCTCAGCGGTAAACTGGAAATCGGCCAAACGGAAATTGGCCAGAAATTTACATTCTAGTGGAATTTGGCCGTTTTCTAAGATTCAGCTAGAAATTGGTCAAAAATCTAAATTATACACGAATTTGGCCATTTTGCCAATTTCAGGTAGAAAAAACACACTGTTGTGAATGATCTGACACTATAAATACGCATAACGACGTAGCTATTGCAGTACAACGAGCTGCCATGCTGTCTAAACACGGTCAGCTTATTGCGTAATCAAAAGTGTATCATCCTCATTACTCTAGATATTTGAAATAAGAAAACCTTCTTTTATTGCTGATTGTACTCGAATGTTAACTTTCGAAATTTATAACTTTCGCTTATATGGGACTTTTGCATCTGGATAAAAACAACATATTAACTCAACTGGTTAAAGAAATAGTAAGTACAATTGCGTGCTCGAATCTACCTCTGACCTTTTTTTTCACATAAGTAAGTTGATTCGAGTATCGTTCTCAAGATCAAAAGCCTTTGATCTCTTCATTTTCTGCTATTTGGGCTTAATACCAGATGTATCTCACAATTTGTACGAGATCATATATGAACCTCAGCTATTGACTACGCTGAATTTCATCGCAGCTGAAAAATTCGTAAATTATTTAAAATCGGTTCAAAGCGCTTCGGAACTTCAAATCCAAAAAAAAAGATATCTGTACTCCTGAAGAAACTCTTTCAGAAGACCCAAGGCGTTTTCTTTAAGTTTTCCATTCTTCTAGGTTTACCAATGTGTACCGCAGCGAAAAGAAAGAATATTCTGAAGTGTTCAAAAATCCGATATCACGCTCAAATGATAGAAAATGAAGAGGTCGAAGCCCCTTTTGATCTTGAGAACGATACTCGAATCAACTTATTTATGAGAAAAAATTAGAATGTTTCTGCTTCAGTTTTGAGAGTAGTTTTCAGAGACTATTGGAAAAACTAATTCGAAAAGATTTTACAAATCTTTTTCGCTTATGACAAGATGCCTCAATGTTTTGGCTTTGGAATGCCCACGCACGAAAAAACATTCTGCATCACGTTTCCAGCTAGATTTCAAGCCCATTTTACTAGTGGCAAGTTAGTTAGATGGGTCGAAAATTTAACTGCAACCTTGATGCAAAATGTCTTTTTGTGTGTGGGTCGCACATAGTGCAACTCTTTGCCTGTCGTCGTTTGGTACTTCTGTATATCATCTACTTTATTCTTCAGAACGTTTGAATATCAAAGACTATTCCAGTCAAGAGTCAAATGAGTCGTGGATGAATACTGCTTGTTGATTAGTGCTCACGAAGACAGTCAAATACTAAGGTTTTGGAAAATTAGTTACTTGCTGTATTTGATGCTACATTGTCATTGGATTCTAGATCAGATTGTAATGCATCGGTTTGGGAAACTGCTGCTTGCGTTGTCGCATGTATATTATTGACTGGATCTAATACATCTGTTTGAACGTCGGAGACTATCACTTCCGCTAGAGGTCCTATTCTATTTGATTCTGCCACATTATCGACCAGTAGTTGTTCTACAATAAAAAAATTACTTGAACTGAAAAGAGACGAAATTGTCCATTTGAATATGAAAGTTCCAATTTTTCCTCTGAAACTCAATAAACATAATGTTCTCCTCTTATCTAACTGCTTATGTTCACACATTTTAACATCATATCTTTCAACTATTCCAAAAAGCGGTATACTACTGATTTGTGTATTTACCCTCGAAGTCAGGTTTGCTGAAATCTGCTTCGATATTTGAGCGTGGAGCCAATCTGTGCTAAAAAATTTAGAAGCACAGTTAAAAAAAATGAATTAGATGTATAAATTACTGAAACATTTCTCGTATTCATATAGTGACCTTCATCACTAACTCCAGTTATATTCCTTTCCAAGTCAATCATCTCACACAGTCGTATGAGGTAAATCGGGCCACTCGCGCAACGTTTCTCAGTATTTAGCATATCTCTAAATAGTTTTTGCTCGAATAAACGTGCTATTGATGTTAAGATACAATCAATATTTGTCTACTGGCTCATTTAAAAATCTCTGTCCGTTTTCGAGTAGTATTCAAACGAAAACCAACACCTTCAAAGCGATCTGAATTTCCTCACTCGGGGTAATTCGGCCAGATCCATTCACATGCATGGAGTTTTAATTACAAAATCTCTGCTAATTAAGAATAAGTCCTAATCAAATGGAAATTATACCAGTTTGAAACCCTTTTCTTCTATCTTTCATATGAATTTGAAATTATTAAGACTTGTTCTAATAAAGTTAATTAAAATATACTGGCTCTGGCTAGCTTTGTTATTTTTTCTTTTTTTCAACCATAAATTATTGAAATGCAATTTTTGCATATGTTATAGATGATGAAATGATAAATATCTTTTATCTAAAGAGTGCTTTAGAAATCTACTTCTGAAAAACACCACAGGTTTGTCTTGAAAAACTGCATGTATTTAAATGGGCCGGATAAAATCAACCTGAGTGAAGAAATTCAGATCGCTTTGACGGTGCTGGTTTTCGTTTGAATACTGCTCGAAAACGGACAGAGATTTTTATATGAGCAAGTAGACAAATATTGATTGTATCTTAACATTCAATAGCATATATATTCAATAGCATGTTTATTCGAGCAAAAACTATTTAGAAATATGCTAAATACTGAGAAACGTTGAGCAAGTGGTTCGATTTACCTCACAGGACTCTATCTCTGTTTGTCTAAAAATAATTAGTGTATAGTCGGTAATATCGACATGAAACAAATAAAGAAATGAAATACAATGTTTTCCTCGTTTCACACGCTTACAAAGTAGTAACTAAAATCCTCGTTTTCGAAACACACGGTGCACATACAAGCTTATTGAGTCAAACGAAAATTGGTGAATTGAGGTCTTCCTCTCATTCATAGAAACGGTGTTATTGTAGAAAAACATTTAATTTCTTAACTCTCAGTTGTATACTTTAGATGAGCTGACAAAGAAGTCCCATGTATATCGCACAATAGTAAGAAAAAAAATTCCAGACCTTCAAAAACATTTTTTAGAAACTGACAGTTTTTACATTCATTAGGATGCTTTTTAGGTTTAAGTAAACAAAAAATAAGGTAATTTCATAGTTTCATGTCCTACTCTCTAAAAAGAAGGTACTCTACCAAATCTAAAAAAGGTTTGAACTTTTAATACTGTCTATATACCCTTTTTAAGGTTTCGTACAGCTGGCGGTTGCCATGGCAAAAGGTATATAGTTTGTATGAAACTTTAAAAAAGTATACAGGTGGTGACAAAAGTTTAAACCTTTTTTAGGTTCGGTAGAGTATCTTTTCGTTTTAGAGAGTACAAATTAGCGTAAAGCATCTATGAGGAATCAAATAATTCATATACTGTCAAAAAAACTGTCTTGATAAAACCACTCGGCTGGCTTCACAATGCGTCTGCAGTGCGTTTTGAAGGCACGTCAGGTGCATTTTCTCATCTTTTTACTGTTAGTCACCTTAATGCCTTCAAAAAACACCAAGTCGCTGCTTTTTTTGAAAAAAAATAGCCTAGATGCATTTCGTAGACATCATTAATACGTCAAAAAAGCACAGTGCAGTAGCTACGGTCAAGACACCTAACTGTCCATCAGCCACGGATAAATCATGTAGTCACATTCAAGGCAACGAAAATGCATCGAGACTATTGTTAGACACAGAACTATTCTGACACCTAGTCAAGACATCTCTAGCAAAAGAAATTAAGAGATAAGTTTTTTCAGAAGTATCCTATCTACATTGTTTCTTTGGCCACTATCATACTCGTGAACAGACGATTTCTAATCTGTTGCTTGTTTATTTAATTATGTTAGATTCATTCAAATCAAATAGATGAACTTGGTCAGCCATCATCAGATTTTCTTCACTTCAAAAATATTATAAAATGAAATTACCTTGTTAGTGAATTTTGATGTTGGTATGTTGAGATCTTTTCCCTTCTGATGATAAAAAATATATGAGATGTTTGATCTTACAGTGTTCTCATACAGAAAAGGTCATAATACTGTTCAATATACAATGTTTAAATCAAGATATGTAAACAAGATCTAGATGTACTTAGCAGAGACTTAGTATTTCTTAATCTCATTTCAACTCAAAAATGGGTTTTAGTGTTTGTATCGCTAAATGCAGCCAGATCTTATTTAGATACCTTGATTTAAACATTGTATATTGAACAGTATTATGACCTTTTCTGTATGAGAACACTGTAAGATCGAACATTTCATATATTTTTTACCATCAGAAGCGAAAGATCTCAACATACCAACATCAAAATAGTTATTCACTAACAAGATAATTTCATTTTATAATATTGTTGAAGTGAGGAAAATCTGATGATTTCTGACCAGGTGCTTTATGTAGAACCGGAAACCGAAGTAAAAGCGGCAGTTTGGCCATTCACTGTTCCTATACCTATACTCAGATATACTTGGAAGTTAAAAATCTCATAACTAACAAGCAATTGAATCCTTTTTTCCTAACCCATCTATATCCAAGTAGAAAAACTAACATTCTTTCTATCCTCTAGATAGATTTATTCGTCTCTTTTTTGCACGTTTTTCGTGGTAGCTCGCTTTTGTATGGCCTCTCGGTGTATCTAACGCATCATGGATGCTTTAAAACCAGCGGGATGACCTACTTTATGCATCAAAAAATGCACCTAATTTACATGGGAGAACGCATCCAAAATTCCTCGACTAAGCATCCACAATGTCTCACGCAGACACTATGGGGCATAAAATTGGAATCCAGGCGCCTTCGTAAGACATAGTGACATGTTTACATGGAAATTTCATCTTACTGATAAAAAATGAGGACTCACTTGAACTGAACTCACTTTTAACTCTTACCTCAGTTTTCAACTGAAATAGGTTCTCCTTTTTTTCTCTACATTTAAGTCATCTGGATTAAGGTTTATTCTAGCTAACAATGAAACATAAAGAAGCTTAGTTAAACAAACAAAACGAAGAGAACGAGACACAAAGTAACGACAGAGAAGTGGCACACAACTTCATCAAACCTACTACAATCTGATCGGTTACCTAAAGCTCTAAGAGCCTCAACGATATTTCTTGTCATTCTTTGAGTTGAAATCTCAAAAGGAAACAAACCATGAGTTGAGTTGGAGTTGCCTAGCTCTGGTCTATATTGAAGAACAGTGAAAAATAACAAGTTTTGTTGGTTTTGTTCATTAAAGATTTGAAAACTTAAAAAAATAGTAACTTACTTCGGCCGGCGGATAAATGTAAATATCATCTCCTACAATTTCATCAACGTCATGCCTAATATTATTCGAAAAGTTAGCGAAAAGAATCGGTGTTAATATTCCATTATCATGTGCTCGGATAGTCACGATTATCATGGGATCTGTTTTTACATTTTTTATATCAATGATACATGCTCTAACATGATTATTTTTATCTAAATCAATGAATACAGATGGAGCATTACACCAAATATCAAATGATAAATTTTTATTATTTTTAATTTTTAATGCTATTTTTAATAAACACGCATTTTTTGTGTTACATAACGTTTTTAATTTTATTTTTTCTTTTAATTCAACTTTTATTGTAAAATTATTTGCTGTTGTTTGGTTTTTATGATAATCAAATAAAAATAAAGTATTGAGATTTGAAACGGCTAAAATTAATTTAAATATACATAGCAAGTAAATAATTAAAACAACAATTCGTTCGTTGACTATCATTTGTTCTAAATAATATAATAAATTAGAAATACTTTTTGTAATAGAAAATAATTAAAATATTATTAAAATAAATAAATGTATAACAGTTAATAAACGAATCTGTAGTTGATTATTTAATAAACAAAATGAGATCATATATTATATTTTAAATAAAAAATATATGTGTATGAATTAAAATAAAATAATAGGACCCTCTATCGCGAAATTCTCACCTTGTATCATGGCTACTTCTTTCTCGCTTACTTTTCCCCTTTTTATTAATCAATAGCAACAAGAACTGGCAATAAAAAAACGTTTCTACATGTTTTAGAGAAAAGAAGTCAAAAAAAACTTTGAAATTAGAACTTAACGAATAAGAAATATTATTTGACTATAGGAATTAAGATAAACTATTTTTAAGGATACTGACAATAAGTGTAAGTTTTTCTTTAATGTGTAATAGGAAATGGACAGTATGTAGTAAAGAAACAGAACTAACTGACTGTTATTGAGAACAGATTATAAATTGTAAGAAAATGCAAATAAAACAGGCCAAGAATGACCGAGAATAAAGAAAAAAATTATACAATGTTCGAGTTCGAAAAACATCTACGTTTTCAATAAGTTTTTAACTTCTCGCTTTACATACTTCTTTTGTCTTAGATTTTTTGACATGTGTAACAATGAATACTTTGATTAGGGATTATCGGATCAAAATATCTGTAGTGAGGAAAAGTCCCATTTTTTTGTATATTGCTATGCAAAGCTGAAAGATAGATTTCGAAAATGAATAATTCCAAAACTGAATGTAAATTTTTTTAGAAATTTTTGAATGCCTCAAGAATTAGGCTACAACGCAAAAATTGCCTCAGTCTTACTACAGATATATTTGTTAGCTTTATTTCAAAACCAGTCTAGTAATAAACAAAATTTTCTATAATTTTTCATGAAGATTTTCGAATAATTTAATAGTGTAGACTTTAACATACGTCAACTACTTAAATACGTGTTTTATCTCTAATTTGATACAAGTTAAATAAAATTGCTAATTCAACAGAATGTTTACACGAATATACTTTCATATCAGGCAGACTGCTATATGATTCTAATGATACAACAAACCAACAGGATTGTTGCCACACCAGAAAATCATTGAATGTAAGTCACTGATGAGAACGATAAATATCTAACCAATGATACATTCAACCATTTTCTGGTGTAGCAACAATCTGTTCGATTAGCAATTTTATTTAACTTGTATCAAGTTAGCGATAAAACACGTATTCAACCATTAGGCAAACAAAAAGCAAAAGGGCATCCCAACAAAGTTTGCACAGCTTTAAATTTGTAAATAGGTATAAATAAAGCTGTAAAAATATTGTTCATTTGTTTAATGTTTCAATGAATATGTTTGTATTGCACATTATATTTTGTTGAGAAATAAAAATGTGAGATTCATGCTGGAAAGTTTAGTGATCATTTGTATCTGAAAATGTTTGATGATCAAAAGTACATTTTGTTTTAGAAGATCGATATAAACGAAATAGCTTAAATTTAATTGAAAGAATGTAGAAGTGATTCGTTCCGTTTAATATTTCTGTTGTTGGTATTGTGTTTTTTTCTCATCATGATCCACCAAATATAATTATTGAAATATTTGATAAAGATCAATATGTAAGTTCAGGTTTTCAAAAGTTTACACGACGATGAGGACAAGAGAAAAAGTTCAGGTTTAAGATAAAGCTAACAAAACGTGTGTAACTAGTGAGGAGTCAGACTGAATATGGATTCAGCATGAATCTGTCAGTTAACCAGTGATAGTAGAACTGCGATAATTGTTGCCAATGTAACTAAAAAATATCAGTTGCATTTAATACCTATAATCCCACATTGTTTGTTGATAATAATTTCATAAAGGAAAAGATTAATTGTATGAGTTAAATAATAATTGTTGAACTCATACAATTAATCTTTTCCTTTAATACCTAAAAGCAGAGAAATAAACGAACGTTAATGAAGGAAGAAGATGCACAAAAATATTAAAATTATGTTATCTGCAGCTCCTTGAGTTGAAAAATGAGTGAAATCTATATAAGATGAACATCTCTGAGACTTTTCAAAAGTGGCCATTATACGACGGTGATCATATAGTACAGGTACATGCAAAACTTCCCACCCCTCCGCATCTTCAGGATATGCCTGACTACTCCCGTTCTTTTGTGACATTTGATAATAGATTACAGAATATTTTATTAGAAGACGTTAAATTTTGATATATCAAGATTTTCTGTCAGACAATTTATTAGTTAGTTTGCTGAAAATATTCGTTAATTTTGAGCAAGATCCAAAAAATTTAGAGTCCTATTCGTGTGTCGATTTTAAATTGCAGCGAAATTTGGTCACTACTCTATTTATGATCATCTTCATCGTTACAGTTATAAATGAAATTCCACTCTGACATGAGTTGAAAAAAGATGCATTTCTTAATTTCGTTGAATTTATCAAACTTATATAAGTTTGATGAGACACATTTTATTACCTTCTATGGCATTTCAACGATGCATGAAACGCTATTGTATTGGTAATATACTTCTGCATAAAACATATTATCGTCTTTCATTGCGTTTTGTCATGCAAGTATATTCCATAATGCCATACACTTGCTCTTCGCTTGATAAACATACAGTATAACAAGACTAAATAAAACACTTAATATGCGCGTATGTACCATAAGAATCCGTTATTCTTCTTTTTCTCCACTCTAAAAGAATTAACAAGGCTTGAATCATTCATTACTTCTTTTTTCTTTATTAGCAAATGAAGTAAAAGACCATTTTTATTAAAAAAGCGGCAAATAAATAAATAATCAATGGTATACAATTACTACTAAACTCAAATAATTATAAAATATTAATGGTAACGTGAAGAAGTAAAAACTAATATCGATTATCAAGCTTATCTTGATATACTAATAATAGACTATTTTTTTTTCGACGTTCATAAAATAAAAACTTAAGAAAAAGTCCTTTTTGAATGTTGTTTCTTCCAACACACAGACATTTTAAATGGAAAAACACGCTGGGAATTAAAAGTTAATAAAACATCGATTGGAATCTTAATGATTCTCCCAGTAAAATACACAGGCATCTTTTTTTCTTATCAAAATATATGACCAAAAAAAAATTACATAAAATTTTGTATGATTGTAGCTCTACTAAGAAAACTGAGCTATTTGACGGTGAATAATAGAAATCTTAGCAAAAATATAGAAGTATTTTACTATAAATCCATCTACAGCATAGCTTGAAGTACAAAAGTTTTAGAGTAGTCGTCGAAGCCCTTTAGATTTCGTTTTCTTGTTGTTATACTTACGGAGAACAAATTATATCTAACTGTTGAGCTAATCTAAGAATTAGCAGCCAGATCTCATACCTTCAAATACTCGAAAACTTTGTTCTAGGCAAAAGATAAGTTTGACGTAGAGTACTTTCGTTTAATTGATTGAGTTCTTATATACACTCATTAACTGGTAAGCTACATCACAACGTAGTAAGTTAGACTGATGGATTAGTGCATAACTTGTCAGTACTAAGGTTCGAATCCAGTTTCTTTGAAATGCGTAAAGAAAAACATAACTGCTAAAACACGAAGTTTTCGAATCATTCAAGATATTCGATCCAGCTGATGCTATTTAGCATTTCTGTTTCAAGCAAATTTCATAAATAGAGGAATGCTGGAATATCGAAAAACCATCGAATTTCTAATGTGCTCTATCTTAAATATTTTGCATCATAAATGGATTTACTGTTCAGAAAAACTCGCTTTAAATATTGAAAAATATTCTAAAACTAGAAGTATTTATTCTATTTACTAACAAAAAATAATGTTGTTGTCGATGTTCTAGATTGAAAAGTATTTTCCATCTCTCTATCATGTCGAGTAGAGTAATTTGGTCAGAAGTTATTCTCATAGATGTGGCCACATCATATTATAGCTGCTACATTTTCTTTAGTTGGTTTAATGCTTGATTAATAATTCAATCTATTTTTTAACATTTTAAGATATACACATTTTCTTTTTTTTCCTTGATTTTTTTAAAATAACAGATGTTAAATGGCACAATGTAAAACATGACATATAACAGAAGACAGTTACCATCTATTATGATTTCGGCATTATAATTTAAAGTAAAAAAATATGGGTTCAACACCATCGCTGCCAGCTACAACAGATGTCGATGATATCATTGCTAGTACGGGTAAGACAAAAATATGAAAGATTCGATCAACTGCTTATAGTAACTAAAGTGATTGGACTGCTGAAGGTAACTATAACAAAACATAGAGTTTAAAGCAAATAAACAACTCAGAGGTGTGATAATCTAATTATTCATCATTTATATTTCAAAGGTTTAACAAAGAAGGCAATAAGAGCATTATGGACAAGATTTAAAGATTTAGATCGTGATGTAAGCGGCGGCGACAGCAAAGGTTATTTGACCCTAGACGATTTAAGTCGTGTACCAAAATTTGATGAAAATCCCATAGCACCACGTTTAATGAAAGTTATTTTCGATGATTTTGGTACAAATGATAAATTAAATTTTAAACAGTTCGCTCAATTTATGAGTATATTTTCAAGACGTGAAACACACTTGTCATTACGAGCACGAACTGACAGTAATAAAAATACGTTGAAAAATTATGAAACAGACGTTAGATATTCAATGTACGATACGATTCTTGCAAAAAAAATTAAATTCATGTTTCGAGTAAGAATTCTATCATCTGTGCTTTTTTTCTCTCCATAATTGTAGCAAAGTATTCATTTTAGATGTACGATATTGATCGTGATGGTAAAATTTCAAAAGAAGACGCCCAAGAAACATTAAAAATGATGGTAAGAAATTTTTGCATACCAATTTGGCCAATGGAATCAAACTAATTTTTGTTTTTTCAGGTTGGTGAAATTAGTGATGAAGAAGCCTCAATCATTGCTGAAAAAGTGATTGATGAATTTACAGACAATAATCCCAATGCTGTTGTTAATTTGACGAATTTTGAAAGAACATTACTACTAATTGACTTTAAAGACAAAATGGGTTTAAAATTATTGAAATAAACAGTGTATTTCTATCTTGGAAATGTTTTTTTACAAGAAGAAGGTAATTTACTACATAAGTAATAAAATTGAAAGAATATTATATCTCACGTAGTAAGTTGATTTAGCTAATCAATTAAGATGACCCGAAAAAGATAATGACAAAAATTTACAGTAATCTACTTTCTTACTTCATTTAAGCAAGTTAACTTATTCCGGTATTATATTTTTCGTATTAACAATTTTTTCAAAATTCAGACAAATACGTCCTATGATAAATTGGTTGAAAAGCAGTGAGCGAATAAAAGTGTTAAAGATCTATTAAAAATAAAAAGCATATCACCGGAAAAAAATAAAGTTGGTTTAGAGTTGCTGAAAAGTGGTTTTTCGTATTCAGCACACTCGATAACTCAGAAGATTATCCGTTTTTGGCCCGAGGTACTTCCGAAAGTTTAGGAAAAGTTTTCAAATTAATATTATTTTTCCATGGAAAACTTTTTGCGCCATTTTGTTTCAAAATTTTTCTTAAACTTTCGAAAGTACCCCGAGCCAAAAATAGAAAATCTTTTGGGTTATCGAGTGTGCTGCATACGAAAAATCACTTTTCAGCAGCTCTAAACCAACTTTATTTTTTTCGTTCCGGTGATATGAAGCCGGAACAGTCTTTCTAAAACAGCTTACTTTGATATTCGAGTAAAATCGAGAGTAATGAGTGATTAGATAAGACTTATATTATTAATTCAAGAAGCAGTTTGTACTAAAGCCTAACAATAATTTCGTTCTCTTTAAATGCAACCCTTTCTTGCTGTACAATGGTGAGCCGATTTAGCAGGGGCTGTCAAGAAGTTTATCTTATAATAACTATAGTTTAAACCAAATGCAAACCTCTAACATTGAGGTTTTTGTAAATATACTAACACCCACTAACAGTTTCAAATTAAACTTCTGATATAACCAATGGATAGGGCTCGTCAAGTTGATTAACTAACATCGAATAAATATTCAGATAAACACTTAATAACGGCTACTAACAGCCGAAAGAATCAGTCCTTAGGGAGAAAATTTCAAAATACTTGCATTGAACAAAAGCATTAATAGATTTTTGCCGCTTCAGTTTAATAGAATAAGAAAATTTTTGCTTTCTTACTTTTTAACGTTGGAGTTAAAACCTTGTTTTTCGAATTCAGTATCAGAAACCAAGTATAAAAATGATCCTTGATCGACCGTGGAGTCCAAAACCAACTAATGAGGGAAGCGCCCCAAGTTGCAAATCGCTTTTTCGACGAAACTAACAGTGATATGGGCAATAGATGGTACTGATTCTGAATATAATGGTCGCAGCAAAAAAATTGGATTCACTGATTGGTCATTAAAAAAACGTCACGTAATGTTATCGGCTTCTTGCCAAAAATTAATTTTGGATCAACGCCTTTTCGATCAAAGTCCGTTTCGATCTGCTGGACGTAGTTTTGTTTCGACTCTATTTAATAATTCATTTATACATATTTTAAAATCTTTTAATCTTCTTCTACTCGTTCTGGTTGAAGAAATTGTTTTATTTTCATCGTCAGATTTTTCACTCATAACATAATCTGTAAGAAATGTTGCAGTATGAATAAATCATAATGAATTACCACAATTAAGATGTCGATTACGACATGAGATTCGAACAGGAGTCTAGCTAGCACAAAACTAAATATGCGTGATCCGTTATACTCACAGTCTACCAATTTTAAATTCCGTGCTAATGTTAATTTTTCTTCTAATGGGTTATTTTAATTTAATTCAAAACCTGTTGCTTGTATTGATTCTAATATTGTTGATAGATCAAAGTATTCAACATCATCAATTAAATGTTCTAAATTATTCATGCTTTCAAAAACTGCTGATGAAAAAAAAGAAAAATAATGATTTCTAATACATCAATAAATTGTTCAATACGTTTATGAAATTTTCGAAAAGTACATGATGACGTTCTGTTATATTCCAATGAAAAATTTTACAATTTAGTCAATGAATTAGCTCGAGAAAATGTGCTTTCAATATTAAAAATTCAATCAATACATTCTCTTCAATCTTTATTGCATACGAATAATGTATTAGAATTATTTAACTTCGATTGTTCCGATTTAATTGAAATAAAGAAAAAATCGTGTTTTATGTTATCAGATGGGACGTATATCATCAAATGTGGAATTATTAATGGACTAAACTACCTTACAAATATATTAAAATTAAAAGATGAACAACGAACAAAACTGAATGAAAGTCCGTCATCATTAAACGAATTAATAATTAAACATCCATTATTGAAAGCATTCATTTCCTATTATAAAACTAGTACTATCTCCCTGGATAAGCATCAAGAAGGATTTTTAACAACATTAATAAATAATATAACATCGAATTTAAAATGTCCAAAAAATAATGTTAGATATAATCAAACAATGCTAAATTTTGCGCTGTCGTTATTTATACTCGGTGGTAAGAATGCATATGAATTCACTCGGTTGGATATTAGTCAAGTATTCCCAAGTTTAACTACGTTGAAAAAAATAACATCGAATAACAATGAGAATGTAATTGAAGAAGGTAAATTTCAAATAGACCATTTATTGAAACATGCAAGTGTAATTGATTGTCGTTATGGATTTATATCTGAAGACTGTACAGGTGTTATACGAAAAATAGAATATGATTCAGCAACAAATACATTTATAGGATTTTCGACACCATTGATATCCAGTTTACCATCATACAAACATTTTCAGACAGATTCATTCGATGAATTGAAAAACTGGTTTTCAACTTATGAAAAAGCTCAACTATTGAATGTACATATGTTTCAGCCGATCACAATAAATTCAGCTCCCTCATCATCTTATTTATTATCAGCATATGGTACGAATAGTAAATTTACATCAAATGATATATGGCGTAGATGGGTATTTATACATGGCGAATGTTACTCGAAACAACTTAAAGTTATTGGTTTTTCAACGGATTGTGATGGAAAGTATCTTAGAGCAATGAGACTTCTTAGTGGTTTTTTCACCAGTTTATCCAATATCAAAATTACAGATAAGCCAGATGCTTTTTCCATTATTATTCCCAATAATTGGACCTGGTTTTATTTACGTAAAAAACAATTATTATTATTTTTTCAGGATCCAATTCATCTTTGTACCAAACTACGAAACAGATTGTTATCGAAAAACTGTAATTTGATGATGGGTAGTCAAACTATTAAATTAGATTATCTAGACGAATTGATAGAAACAGGTTCAAAACTAGATCACGGTCTTGTTCGTTCTGATTTATATCCAAAAGATCGGCAAAACTATGCATCATGTGTCAAAATTTCATCACCAACAATTTTAAAATTATTAAAGCGAAGTCCTGATACTAAAATTGTTAAATTATCTTATTATAGCATATGTTGATAAAACAACAACAGTCATTGACCGCTTAAAATATTCGTGAATTTGTATCTTCGTATGCCGATTATGGTGGGCTTGGTTAACATTGTACTGCAATACCACTAATAAACGAACAATAGAAAAACACTTTATCACCAATGCAGCGCAATATTCTATTGAGACTAATGGTCATAACTTATTAAACATAATTATGTTAGTATTAGAAAACAAAATACCGAAAGACACAGTAACCAGTATTCATTTATTCAGTTCTCAGCCTTGTGAGTCCGTTTTTCGAAATACAAGGTCATTGAGTGGAGTATATTCAACAATAGTTAATTTTACAGTTAAGGATTTTCTTAAGGGGGGGGGGGCCCCCCCCGTTTTTTT